TGTTCCATATATGTATGCCATCTCTTCGTAAAATACCTTTGGTGACGGCGTATAACTAACTGGAAAAAGGCACTGATGAAACGAAGCTTGATATAGCTGCGTTCGATATCTCAAAACTGTCTCACTAACATTAAAAGGTCCTGATAGTAATTATGCGTACAAAATTAAATCATACTAATTTCATATTTTGATCAGCTGTTGTTTCATCGTCGCGCTTTTTCTTGTCTGTGATGCAGCTGAAATTTTAAATTCCGCTCATGAAACACGTTTAAAAAAGTAATCGGAATTGATAAATGACCTTCTGTGCTTGTCTCAGGTGCTCCAGTATAAGGGCGACCATAACACGCTTGGATTTTGGTACGAATGGATTAAATACAAGGATCGATTTGAAAAAACTGAAATTCGACAAATAGTGCACTGCGGCGATTCATGGCCCATTCTGTGGAAGGATCGCCCGGAGGGGGCACTACTCGGCTACATGGACAACAAAACGGAGCTGGTAAAATTTCTACATTAGATAATGGTTGAGAAAAGTTTAGCAAGTTGTTTTTTTCAGGATAAGAAATATCCCTTGCAGTATAACCTAGTAGCATGAAAAAAGTTATTGAAAATGTACATTCCAGTTTGCTCCGAGCAACGCTGAGGATTTGATCACTTGCACATCATAACAGATGCTATCGTGAGCGAAGCCCTCTTTTATAAATGGACCAATGAGGCCGGAGGGAATCGAACCATCCGCTTTAAAATAAAATGAACGCGACCTATTAGCCACTGCACCAACGGCACTTTGCCTGGCAGCACATTTACTGTGTATCTATCCTTCAAGATAGAATACATCTTACTCCTTGTCTATCTATCACAGGCAACATAAACTTTTCTTTCCTGTCAATCTGTTTTTAGAAAGTATACAGATTTATTGCGGCTTCTTTTTTATGTCAGGTTTTCGTGGGTTTTCTGTAACAAATGCTCAAACCTACTTCCTTGCAGTAAAAAGATGGAAAACAGCAAGCTTGACTTGTTATATGGATCGTAGGAGAAAAATAGTCCTACCTGAATAATTCAGTTGTTCCTAAAGTGCATCGTACACTGCTCAGCTTAACATAGAGGCATATCCGCTTCAGGCACACTTCTCACATGATGGGAAAGCGGAAACGAAAGAGGGACCAGAACTTGGTGATATGTGGATTATCGTGCGCAATACACAAGGTGGCCCACCAACGTGTGCTTGCAAGAAATGTTACAAAGAACCGCCACCGCAACCACCACCAGGGCCACCACCACCACGCGTGATGCTCGACGAATGGATTGATATACGTGCTGGTGATCCATGGCCAGCTGACAAGAAGCTTGTGAAAGCACTGGACAAGAATCTGGACACAATTGCTGGCGAAAATCCGGAGCAGTATGTGGCATTGTGGTACCAGTCAGGCGAACCTGTGATGGGCCGTGTTTGGAACAACAACGGCAAAGTTTGTAGCATTTCATCACAACTAAATTTCTCGTACCTTATTGAGAATTAGGACTGGGTTTGAAGTTATTAAGACCTACGTGGATGGGAAACATCCCCTTAAAATTTCAGCTTTCTAGCTTTTTTGGCTGAGCCTAAATTGATGTAAGCAACTCTGCAGTTCTTTCTGATGCTGTGAGTACAAGTCGAAGCCAGATTCTTCTTACTGCAGTACCTGGGGATGCACTTTGATCAAACTAAAGTTGCTTTTAAAGGGATTCCAACCAATAAACTGACTTTTGCGGGGGAAGCGGCAAACAGCACACAGCTATTTAATCGGCCAAATTTAACTCCTTAGCAATTTTATTAATTCTCACGGCTGTGCACAGGCCAATGTAGCATTTCGTATTTCAATCCCATATAACAAAGCTAGCAAGGCTGGGGGAGGAGGGTGGAAAGTATTACTTTCGCAGTGAGCGCCACGATTATACTAAAAGGAACGTTCCACTGTGCGCTAGTAGTCTCGTTCTTTTTTCCCCGTCCTGATTCATATTCATATCCGTTATTCATCTGCATTTCAA